TTTAGAGAGTTAATTAAACTTTTTATATAACTTTTAAATATTTAAGCTGTTAATTATTGTAATGTATAGTACTATTACTTATATTATTTTTAAATATATTTAAATATTATATGTCACTCTTTTTATCCTAATTTATATGATATTGATAGAATTTAAAGTGTCAAATAATTGTTAATTATTGTAATATGTAGTACTTTTTATGTAATTTTTACTATTTTTAAGTATACTAAATTGTTAATTATTTTAATATATAGTACTACTTTATTTTTATTTTTAAATATGTCATCAACGAAAAATAATGAGACATGATAATTAAAATAAAGAAATACACAATAGTATTGGTCAGCCGACATGATAAAGTTGGTGGGCCCCACTTAAATTAATTAAAGAGTACAACTTTTGTATGGATATATGTGTCATTATGGAGATGTTGGCTGGTTTTTTTGTCTAAAGAAGAAAATGTACAATTATAAAGCACTGGCATACAAAAGTTTTAAGGAACAAAAGCTAGTAAATACCAAAAATACCCTTGTCACTAAAATTAAAACAGAAATAAAAAAATGATGTTTGCAACATTTGAATCCCAGACCTTGCACTTTAAATGTCAAGCCTAAACCAGTAAGCCAAACAGTTAAATATGAAAATAAGCACACAGCTGAAACAGACATGTTGACCCTCAGTTGTGTGCTTATTGATACTTATATATTAGTAGTAGATGCATTACTTAATATCTAGCTAACTCAAATTATATAATTATACCATTTTGGCGGGGAGCACTTTATTTTCTTTAATATACTTAAGAAGTTTGTGCACAGACCGTTAATATTTTGGGGGTGATTTTTAATTTTTATCTTCAAATATGGTGATCTTTAATTTTTGTTAATGTTGCTTGTTTAATGAAAATTTGTGGACCAAAAAATCTTTATCTATAACTTAATTTTGCTAAACATAAGTTTAGAGAATTTTTTTCCCGCTCAACATAATAGTTCTATAGGAATTAAATTATGCAACATAAGTAGCTAGTGTAGTATTTCTATGACCTAATTTCACCAGACATAAGTTTAGAGAACTTTTGTCTTGCTCAACATAAGTTCTGTAAGAACTAAGTTATTCCTCTTACGACATAAGTTCTGTAAGAACTAAGTTATTCATTTTACGACATAACTTGTGCATAATTTGTTATGCATTTAAGACATAACTTGTATTATATTATGATACAAAAAATATAAGCTTATGTCGAGTGAAAATTAATGGTTATTTCAATGTCAAAAATAGTTTTGACCATTTATTTTTTTGACTTAAAATACTAAAGGCAAAAATTAAAGACTATCAAATTTGAACAAAATATTAAATCCCAAAATTTATGTGAATTATGAACCAAAGTTAACTAGTGCGAACCTGAATTAAGCGGTTAAAATATCAAATGGTCAAACCTAAAAAATCACCTAATTTAGTGTCCTTCAAACTTACTTGGGATTTTTATCCAAATAGTCAATCTTATTCATAATTTTATAAACGATGCATATATTTTTTATATACGATTACACCTATTATATATTTATTGACTAATCATCCTGTTTAGACCCTATTTATGAAATTAGATTGAATATGACATTGTTGTTATGTCTCGTAGTACAAGATGACTAGTCATCCAACTCATACAAACCAATCTCATAATGGATTAAGGAGACAAAACAAAAGTTTGAGTGTATTAGTGGGGACAAGTGATCACATGCATTATGTGGAGATTTTAGGTAATGGGCTTAACATGATGAAAAGCAAAAAAAAATATTTTTTCTTTTAAATAATAGCATTAAGCAAAACCCCGTATAATCCAAAGAAGAATTCAAGTAAACAAGATCCAAAAACACTTTCTATATGCACATGATTAAAATGGTTTCCACTATTGATACTCCCCCTTTGAATTCCCTTTATATATTTGCATGATGTCTATTGATGCCTTACTTGATTATTCTTATATATATAGCTTACAATAAGCTCTTTCACCTATCACAATATTCTTGAGTTTTAATTTTCCTAGCTATATCATCTCAATGGCTAACTCAAATTCCAAATTGAGCTTAGCATTCATTCTATTATTATTATTAGTCTTTGCAAATGTAAATATTTCAATAGCAACTAGCTATCGTGGGGTTGAAAGCATCATAAGATCAAAGCTAGATAGCAAGAAGATTTTACAAGAAATATGTTCTTATTTGGGAAAAAAGAAAATTAGTAATAGGAGGGTATTGGTGGATATTATAGATAGAGTGGCACCTGGAGGACCTGATCCAAAACATCATTAGCAACAAATTTTCAAGATTGCGTCACAACTATTTCATTTCTTATGTACTAGAGTTTAGTAGGTACCGATCTTTAGAAGCTTTTGAAATATTCAATTTGTATGATTGAGGATATTTTTATTTAGTTCCATCCATTAAACAGCAACATGGATGCATGTTGGATAAAAATATATTTGTCTTTAAAAAGAGCCAATTTCATATAGTTGCGTATGTCATTTTCATCTTATATATATGTTGTGTTGCATTTGATGCAAGTGGAAGTGCTAAATTTTGTCCAAAGATAATCTCTTTTCTCTGTCTCACATTTATTTTTTCTTTTTTTATTTTAAGTCTTAATTTGATAAGTAACAAAATTCAATTATAAATTAAAATAAGATAGATTTTAAAATTTTATGATCTAAAATTAAATATATGTATAATATATCTAAATGTCTTTTAATTTGTTTTATAATCTTAAACATATTAAATCAGATGTTGAAATTAAAGAATTGAAGTGAAGTACTTAATATAGAATTGATATTCAATTAAAGTAGATTTAAAAAAAAGACATATAAATTAAAAAACAGATAAAGTATTTTAGGTTGTGTTTGGTACGAAGGACTTTTTTTATATATCTTGTCGATGCATTTTGATATCCCACAATTATAACAGATAGCTTAACTTCGTTTATCTTTGGTGCAGGAGCGCTTCATATTTCTCATGTTTGATTGATATTTTTCGAATAAACTTATTTTCCTCCAATTTAATATAGATTTACATGGCAAAAAACATCCAAACTTTACAAAAAGTTAAAGCAGGTTGAACTTGAACAATATTGCACCCGGGGTGGATTTAGGGAATTCCTTCGATAAGAAATTACATTGTATATATGTGTATTTTATTTTAGTTTTACATTTATATATATAGATTTTGAATCTTGTGATCATAAAATTAAGGTTTGATTCAGTGATTTAAGTTGTTCAAAATTCGCCTAGGGATTCAAAGTTTAGATCTCAAGCACTAGAGGTCTAGGCTCAATAGTTAAGTGATTCAAAATTCACCTTCAAATTCAAATACATTATTGTGTGATACTTTGTAAATGTCCGATTCAGATACAAATTTTCAATATTCAATTGGGCACGTCTAAAGTTATTCCCAAAACAACTAAATTTGAAGAAAAAAAAACTAAAAAAAACTTTGGATATATAAATTTCTATATACACATAATTTAAAAAATTTGATTATCACATAGTCAAGAAAAACAATTACCAAAAACTTGCCAATTTAGAAACATGAAAGAACACTAGTGTTTTTAAAAAGTGTCCATGATCAAAACTTTATTAATCTAGCTAGTGGGGAATGACATTATCTGTGCGGCGATTCGGATATGAATAAAGGAGGAGTTAATGTACAAAAAACAATGACAAAAGCAACTTTAGGCCTATGCATATACTTTTGTGTTAGGTTTTAAAATTTAAAGTATCATATCGACCTATTACATATATTTATTATTTGAAAGTGATTTTAATATCACATTGAAACGAATAGCATTACTTTCAGGATGAAAGGTATATTATACTGGCGTCATATTAATACTATCTCAGCAGAGACAGAGGTAGGATTCTTATTAGATGTGCTTGTTTTTATTTTATTTTATGTACATAATTATTACGTTAGTTTAAGGATAACTAAATTCACTTTTAATTAGTAAATGTGTGTAATAGACCGTCATGATAGTTTAAGCATCTATTTAACTTTTTGAGACAAGTGTAAGGGAATCAATGTCTTTTTCCTTAATCTAGCTTCATATCTCAAGAAGTACTTATGTGGAGGCCAGTGCTTTCGACCAAAGGCGAATTTATTTTTGGTGCTCGAATATAAAATCAATGATTAAGGATAAATGGTAGTTATACATCCAAAATTATAACTTAATTAGTGGTAAATAAAATAAGTTGAATCAGATTTTTTAACCTCAGCTGAAACAAAAAAAATACTTAATAATTATTTTAAGCATGTATTTGAATGCCTTTTTTCTTCTTTACCAATATTATTATTGTTAAGTATTCTATCGTTATTATATTCTTCAAATTTTATTATTACTATTACTATTAGTATGAAAGATAAAATATGTACCATGCACCAAATTATCATTAATCTTATCCTTAAAAAAAAAAAAACTAGTGACTACCATAAAACTTACGTTCAAAACTATCCAAGATACATATATAGTAACTTATCTTACAAGATGACTAGTCATAATGGATTAAGGAGGCAAAAGGTTAAAATTAGGAGGGACAAGTAACATGTGGATGATGTAAGTTCATGGTTAATGGACTTAACATGTAATCAATTAAATTAAATATCAAAAACAAAACCAACAACGATTGTGATAGAGTATTAGCAAGACTTTTTCATCTTTAATCAAGAAGTCTTGGGTTCAAATTTCATTTGGTACCTAATCACCTTTGTTAGGGAGTACTTACCTCCGATGTTAGACTTTCTGGTGCAAATCCAAATTTAGTCGGGCTCCAATATGAGTACTAGGAATTAAAAACTAGATATCAAAAAGCTCTTTCTATATGCACATGATTAAAAAGGTTTTCACTATTGACACTTCCCCCCCTTACATATATATACTTGCATGATGATTATTTAGCTTACAATAATCTCTTTTTCCTCTCATAATTCTTGAATTTTATATTTTCCTTTCATCCATTTATGGACAACTCAAACTCCATATTGAGCTTAGTATTCCTTCTATTATTATTATTTGCAAAGGCAAATAATTCAATAGCAACTAGCTATGGAGGGGTAGAAAGCACAAGGAGAAAGGTAGATAGCCAACATATTTTACATGAAATAATTTTTGATTTGGGAAGGAAGATGAAGAATATGCAATTTAATAATAAGAGGGCATTGGTGGATGAAGATAGACTGGCTCCTGGAGGACCTGATCCTCAACATCATTAACAACAACAGTATAGTGAGAAATTCTGATAAGGGGATTTAAGAAATTCAAAAATGTTACACTTGTGATTGATTGTGTATTTCTCTTATGTTAAGGGAATTTAGAATTTTATATTTCTCTCATCATTATGACTTGATGTATTCAGGATTCAGAATTACTGAGAAATGTTTATGATAAGTTTGATTTTCTTATTTGTATATTTATCACTTTTTTTTTCACACTTGTTATAATTTTAACCTGAAGCAATGAATTTAATTGAACCAACAAAACTTCTATAAGTAAAAGTTAGATTATTTTTACACAATTTTTAAAAAAATAAAATTTAAATAATGACTTAAAGGACTTTATTTTGGTATAAATCAGAATGTATCCAGTACCCCATGAAGCCCACTGGGCCTAGAATACCAGACCATTTAAACACAATATTAAATAGGAAAATTGTACATAATGACAAACTATTAATTCAAATTAAATGGTATAACCACACTTTGATTTACTCAATTATACAAAAACACGCGAATTATACAAACGTACCCGCGAATTATACAAACTAGATGTGAATTATACAAATTATTTCCCTCTCTTGCTCGCCTCTCTCCTTCCTCTTCCAATCTCGCTCGCCTCTTTCCTCCCTCCCCAATCTCGCTCGCCAGAATACAAATACATATGTATACCAGTTACATAGATACAATTATCTAACCGATATACATATACAATTCACCTCTCTCGCTTGCCTCTCTCCTCCCTCTCCCATTCTCGCTCACCACTCTCCTCCCTATAACTTATAGCTATGAATTGTAATTAGCAAATTATAGCTATGGAGTTTAATTAGGCTATTTTTCAGTGGCTATATGCGAAAATTCACCTATTAAATAAAAGATTATTATTTTTCTTTAAAAAATATGAGTATATTTACAAAAAAAAAAATAGCATTTAAAAAAGTGTCAATTTTTGAATTTTCCAATAGAAATTTTCAGTTCATGCAAATGGAAGAGTGTAATCGTAATTTTCAATTTCAACTAATTTATAATTAATCAAATAATTATTTGACCAAAGAAATAAGATTCAAATGTACTCTTGATGTGCCATGAAATCGTGGCACATTTGACGCTTAAGAACTATGAACTAACACTGGAATTAAGTGAAATTTTGTACTATTTGATAGGTTTGTTGAATGTGTAGGCAAAAGTCTGGTTGGTATAGAAAATGGAAAAGAAGCTACAAAATGATGATGACTGAAGTAAAGTTCACGGTCAACTTCATGGACCGTGACTTTCATCACGGTCTGTGGTTGAGCTCGTGAAAGTGAAGCAGTGTTGGCCTTGAGAAGATGAAGAGGAGTAATAACAAGTGACAACCACGGAAGTTCCCTCGGGCCATAGCTCTTACCACGGACTGTGGTACCTACCGTGGAGTTGAACCAGTGTGAAAGAAAGAAAGTTGACAGAATGTTGGAATCCAAGTGAAGACCACGAACACCATCATGGGCCGTGGCCCTCGCTACGGACCGTGGTGTAGTTCGTAGTCCTTGTTCCAGTGAGTATCATTGAAGACCCAAACTTTGGGAAGTCCAAGGGAAGACCACGGAAGGCTTCACGGACCGTGAAGCCTTTGACGGGTCGTGGTAGTAACCGTGAAAGTTCTCAATAATTCAGTCCTAGTTCAATTAGGACTCACTTTTAACATTCTATTTTTGAACTGCTTTAGGTCATTTTTGGAGGATTATTCATTGTCTTACGTTTTACGACTAAGAACACAGTATTATTCTTAGCTTTAGATTTTGGATTCAAATTATTCTGATCAGTTTGAAGTTTGGATTTCGATTATCAGATTATCAAGTTGTTGTTGATTTACTAATTATTTTCGTAAGTATTTCTTAACATGTTTCGGTATCCAGTACTGATTCTTTACTTGAAAACATGAGTGGCTAAATACTACGGCTGGGCGTGTGGAATCTATGACGATATTCTAGTTGATCTTTAACACCATATTAAATTAAGCGAAGTCCAATATTGATAACACTTTAAGTTCGAGAGAATTAGAGTGAATATTATCTGATTAGGCTGAGAAGCGTTAGATTAATTCAACTCGCAAAGATTCTGTAAACATTGACTTATCTGACACTCACATTTTGGGAGAGCATTATAATTGATGTCATAGTGAACACAAAACCTAGTTTCTTTAAATTAACTAAATCAATTTACAACAAGATTGCATGTGAATTGTGTATCTAAGTTTTGACTGCAAGTGTTGGTGGTAAAATACATTTCAATCAACCCAATTTACTTTCCGTGTTATTTGTTTAGGAAATAGTAACGACAATTGAGTAAACGCAACAGTGAAACTTTATCTGTAAAGAAATTTTCTGTGGGATCGACCTCAACTCTAGTTGAGTTCTGTAAATTGACAACGACCGTTTACACTTCTTATTTGGAGTGTAAGTTTGGACGTATCAAATCTTTCCAGTTGATTTCGTGATTCTGGATTGCGAAGTGAATTCTGAGGTTCCCATCATCTTGGGAAGACCCTTTTTGGCCATGGGAAGAGCTTTAGTGGATGTTGAGAAAGGAAAGTTAAAGTTCAGACTCAACACAGATGAGGTAAGGTTCAATATTTGCAGGTCAATGAAAAAACCACGAGATATGAATGTGATATCTACAATAGAAATGGTCACTGATGAAGACATGAGAGTACCCATAGAAGAGAGAATGGTCGTTGAAACATTAGCAGCAGTACTGATGAACATTGATGCTCACTTCCGATCTGACTATGTAGAGACCGTGAATGCCTTGCAGGGTATGGGAGCACATTCGTATTCTCCAAAGAAATTGGAGTTGGACTTGAAAAATAGGCCAATCCCTCCAGCGAAACCATCCATTGAGGAGCCACCGGTGTTGGAGCTGAAACAGTTACCCACTCACCTCAGGTATGTATTCTTGGGTACTAATAACACTTTACCGGTGATATTGGCTGCAGATTTGAATGAAGAGCAGGTACAAGAGGTGATCAAGGTGCTAAAAGGATACAAAAGAGCCATTGGCTGGACCATTGCTGATATAATTGGGATACCTCCAGGTATTTGCACGCATAAGATTCAGCTTGAGGAAGACTGCAACCCAAGTATTGAACACCAACGGAGGTTGAACCCACCTATGCAAGATGTGGTTAAGAAAGAAATAATCAAATGGTTAGATGTTGGGGTGGTTTACCCTATCTCTGATAGCCACTGGGTCAGTCCAGTGCAATGTGTGCCTAAAAAGAGAGGTATGACTATGGTGGCAAATGCCAATAATGAATTAGTCCCGCAGAGACCAGTCACTGGATGGCGAGTGTGCATGGACAACAAGAAGCTAAACAAGTGGACTTTGAGAGATCATTTCCCCATGCCTTTCATGGACCAGATGCTTGACAAGTTGGCAGGTAAATGATGGTACTGTTTCTTAGATGGATACTCTGGCTACAACCGGATATCAATTGCACCTGAAGATCAGGAAAAGACCACATTCACATGTCCTTATGGCACCTTTGTGTTTAAACGCTTGCTATTTGGACTATGTAATGCACCAGCCACATTCCAAAGGTGTATGATGTCCATCTTTTCAGACATGGTTAAGGACACTCTAGAGGTATTTATGGACGACTTCTCTGTAGTAGGCGATACGTTTGATGACTGTTTGTTAAATCTTAGCAGGGTTTTACCGAGATGTGAGAAAGCCAACTTAGTGCTAAATTGGGAGAAGTGTCACTTCATGGTAAAAAAATGGTATACTCCTTGGACACAAGGTGTCACATAAAGAAATTGAGGTCGACAAGGCTAAGATTGAGGTGATTGAAAAATTACCTCCGTCAATCTGTATGAAGGGTGTTCGAAGCTTTCTAGGACACGCCGGATTCTATAGGCGTTTCATCAAAGACTTCTCCAAAATTGCACACCCCATGTGCAAGCTTTTAGAGAAGGATGTGAAATTTGTCTTTGATGGAGCATGCCTTAAAGCTTTTGAGTGCCTGAAAGAGAAGCTAATTTCAGCACCAGTGATTCTTGGTCCAGGCTGGGCAGAGTCGTTTGAGGTGATGTGTGATGCTAGTGGAACTGCTTTAGGAGTTGTGTTGGGACAGAAGCTCAACAAGATGTTCCATCCAATTTACTATGCTAGTAAGTCGCTAAATGGGGCACAGCGAAATACACAGTCACTGAGCAGGAACTATTTGGCTGTAGTGTATGCTTTTGAAAATTTCAGAGCTTATCTGCTGGGTACTAAGGTGATAGTTCACACAAATCATGTTGCCTTGAGATATCTCATGGAAAAGAAAGATGCCAAGCCTAGGCTGATCCGATGGGTATTGATTTTCCAAGAGTTTGACTTTGAAGTGAAAGACAAGAGAGGTTGTGAGAACTAGGTAGCTGATCACCTGTCTAGGTTGGAACCTGAAAAAAAGGAAGAACTTGAGCTCGAGATAGATGACATATTCCCGGATGAGCAGGTATTAGCTGCTACTCTTGACCTTATTCCTTGGTTTACTGACTATGCTAATTTTCTGGTTAGTGATTTAAAGCTTGAGGGGCTAACGTATCAGCAAAGGAAAAGGTTCTTGCATGATGTAGGCAAGTACTTTTGGGATGAACCATATCTGTGCAGGGTGTGTGCTGACAATATAATTAGGCGATGTGTTCCGAAAGCCGAAATGTTGCACATTTTGGAAGCCTGTTACTCATCTCTAGTTAGTGGTCATCATGGTGGTGCTCGAACAGCCCACAAGATACTTCAATGCGGATACTACTGGCCCACAATTTATCAAGATGCAATTGACATAGTCAGGAGCTGTGATGTGTGCCAGCGGCAAGGAGCCATCTCTCGGCACCATGAGTTACCCATGACACATATTATGTAGGTGGAATTATTTGATGTGTGAGGTATTGATTTCATAGACCCCTTTGTGAGCTCATATGGTCAAAAATACATACTGGTTGCGGTTGACTATGTGTCTAAATGGGTTGAAGCTGTTGCGTTACCTG